AATAACTCGCCGTCCTTGTTTCCGACAGGCTTTCTTTTCTTTTCAGACATCCTTCTGGCCGAATCTGTGGGCGGATGGCTCTATTCTGTAGGCGAGTGGCTCTGTGACGGCAAGCGGCTGTTCTGCAAGGGTCTTGATTGTCCAGCATCTTACGTTGAGATAGGACTGGGGTACCGTCTCTTTTCGGCCATTGAGCGAGAAGCCTTGCTCTTGGATTGAAAGCTTGGAGACCTCTCGCTCAGCTCGCCTTTCATCTTTCGAACTCGAGTGAAAAGTGACATCGACTTGTCTCTCTGCAGGTGGAGGCGGCTCTGGCGGTGCTGCATGGACTCCCCGTCCACCACCGGGACGTTAAGCCGTCCAACATCCTTCTCTCGCAAGATGACGATCCCCGCAACCGCATCGCCATCCTCAATGACTTCGGTGAAAGCTGCTGGGGCGACGAGTTTGTGAAGGGTGGCTACTGCAGGCGGCGCTACACGAGCCCAAATGCCGATGCGGGGGGCTTTAGCACCCCTGAGGATGACTACATCTCTCTCGGGCTCACTTTTGCCCATTTGCACAACCTGCGAGTGTCAGACCCGTACAGCCCAGCCGGGAAGATGGAGCTGATTGGGAAGCTGTGCGGGCTTCATGAGAACTACCGAAAGTGTCTCGGCAGATTTTTGGCAGAGTAAGGTCGAGGGCTTCAAGTTCGTCACGACTAATGAGTGGGCTGATTCTCTAGGTGCTTCGGGCACGTTTGTGTGGAGTCCGTAAATGTGACTAGCGATTTGGAGGTCGATGTTTCCGAGAGGGCGTCTCTGGCAGCGCCGAAGAAGGGCATTCCGTGTGCCGCGCCTGCCCGGAAAAGGAAGATGCATCTTTTCTTGGCAAGCGGTCTTGAAGGTTTTGTCTGCGTGTAGGAAAACAAGGACGTCAAACGAATAATGATGGATTGTCCGTCAGGTCAAATGTAAAAGGATTACATTGACGCTTTATGTGCAACCTGTGCCATCTGGTTGCTCTTCTCACATAGTTCTCCATGGCCTTTTTGTGAATCATTGGCTGCTTGTTGCGTAAAATATGAACCGGCGATCAACAAAAACATAGAATACTCTAGGCAGATTTACTCTCAGCACATCATTCTATAGCGACATTTGCCTGCCACAAAACATGCTTATTGGCATTTGGCAGTTTATGTGAATGAGTAGAGCCGCATGTTACCGTTCATGAATAAGATTTGGTTTTGAAACCCTATGTGAATGCTCGGATCATATTGGGTCCCGCAGCAGCATGCATGCGTGTCGAACTTAGACCTTGCACATATCATGCTGCATGCAACCTCGTGTTCGCTCTGCCGACGGAGCTCTATCCCCTCCGTTTTGGAAAAGCTTGTGGTCGCAAGTGCAGCAACCCAAATGAAGCTATTCGGGGCCACTCAGGGGGCGCCATGTCATACCCCCCTCGGCGGTCCGGCCATACCCGGGACATTAGGGTTCGGGTGCCGTCGGCAGTTGGGATTTCAATAAACATCCCGGGTGATCTGCCCGACGGCTCTGCCTCGGTGTTCTGTCCCCTCGGTATAAGCTGCGGGCCAGAAGGGTTCGGGCTCGACCTTTCCCACTCACTGAGCCTAGGCCCGTGGTAATGCTTTTCCGAAAGTTGAGCAACAAGAAGCAAGAAGCATGTCGTGCTGGCAGCAGGGCTGCAACCAGCTGCAAACTTCAATAACCAAGGTCTTCAGGTCGAGAGCACTCCCCCTCGTTCACCATCAGCATCAAGGGACAGTGTAGCTAATTTTGACAGCAACTCATGTTCTGTGCTCGGGTGAAACGAAAGCATGTCACGGGTGGTTGGCATATAGAGCTTGTCAGGATGGCAGAAGGCAATCTAGCAAGAACGCCATCGCTACCAAGTCAGGCCCTGTCGCCGCTTGGTGCAGCTACTGAATGCTGCTTGTATGGCTGCCATCTGTTCAACTTTACGTTTCTTGAAGGTTCCAGTGTTGAGTCAGCATTCAGGCTTGCTTCCACTCTGGAAAGTTCCAGGATGAGTCAGCCCTCAGATTTTTTGGGACAGGTGGCACTTTTGGTGGCATAGGTTGGCAAGCGCGGCATGGCGTGGCAGCTGTTTTTTGCTGCCTGCATAGTTCTAATGGGTCCCCTCTGCTGGTTCTGGATCATTCAAAGAACCCTTCTCTTCAGAGAGCCTTGGCAAAGGACCAGAAGTGGCTGTCGGAAAGCAGACGACCCCGGCAGACCAGAAAGGCGCACGGCACATGCCAAGGTAAGTTTTCTAGACCATCCTTTTGACACCTCGCAGGCTGACTGCTGCAGCTCACTTCCAAAGCAAGGGATTGGAACTGGAACCAAACAAACGTCAACCAAACAAGAGTGACCTGTTTGTTTTGCACGCACTGGGTGCGTGCATGACAGAATCTTCGTTTGAGGTGCTTTTTTTCACAAAGTGGAGGCAGAGTTTGTGCCCTGCATGCAAGCCCTTTGTAATAAGGAACCAAGTCTGTCTGTATATTCATCGGGGTACTGACTGATGTATATATCTCTTGCTGCATGAACCAGTCAAGCAAGGGATGTATTGTATTGTATTGCATGCAGAACCTGCGTGCTGGGCTGCAAAGCATGTCATTCAGCTCGTTATCAAAGTTAAGCAGAGCTTGGGCAATATGTCAGGATGTGGCAGATTCTCTGGACTGGTTGCTTCCATTCTCGAATTGCAAAGAGCTAGCTTGTACTTCAAATTTGAAACCAAGTCCTCTTCTTGCTTGCAGATTGATTTTAAATCAACTGCATACCTTGCGTGGGAAACAGTCTGTTACGGCAGGCTGGTGATCATGTGGGGACATTCATGGCAAAACTGCCTTCTTTCACATTGCTTTCATTACTGATTGTCAATCAAGAGTGCGGTCTACTTTTGCACAGCATCATTGGCATCAGTCAAGAGCATGGTACTTGTTGGTCTGCCTTGCACAGCATCATTGGCGTCATTGGCGTCAGTCAAAACTCACTCTGGTTCGAATTGGAAAGTATGCTGCCACCCAAAAGGGAACCTTTGACCCAGTCCCTTGTTTTTCTGGTCGTGCACTGATCAGCAGGACGTAAGGTGTTAGGGGCTCCTCTGGCCATGCCACAGTGCTTCAGACTCCAGCGTGGATCTTCCATATGCCTATACGGATTGATAAGCTGTCGGGCTTTGCAGCTGGCTCGGCTTCATTGCCCCTGGGAAGGGACTCCAAGAAGGGGGGCAGGCTGGGGCAAGGAGAAGAGGCCATGGCTGTGGAGCCCAATGAAATCGCCTGTGATGCTGAAATTCGCAGCTGCCAGCACACACACGTACTCAACCAGGTATGTTCTTCTACTTTCAAGGGTGGGTTGCCTGAGGAATTCAAGAGGCCTGGATTGGGAGTAGAATAGAATGATAACCTGCTTTGTCATGGTCCGCAAACCATGAAAGGGTGTGACGGGCTTTCCTGCCTATGGGGAACCAACTGCAAGCACTGGTCTGTGGCTCATGGAGGGTTTTGGCACACAGACGCTCCTATGACTTGCTGGCCGGCAGTGGCATGTCGGGCGTTGGGAGGAGGTGGCAGGCACGCGTGCTTTTTGATACCTCGTTTGAAAGGGGGCGCTGGTGGACCGATTTAGCACTCACTGTCTTTGGTCGAATATTGCTTGCATGTATAGGGCTTTTGAACATGCTTATGCTGAAGCGTAACTCATCTCAATTCTCTTTAAATTTGTGTGCGCCTTTGACAATCTGTGCGTCTTACGAGGTTGAATACGCATTAATTGGCCGGTGAAAAACCACCAAACACTATGACAGCTTCTGGGTCAACACTCTGACGCAACAATCCAGGTCCCTTGCTTAAAAGCACTATCAGAGTGAGCATTACTAGCCTGCTCAATGATGCAGCAATCAGGCGCTCATGTAAGAATTGTACTGCTTTCCCACCCATGTCAACTCCACTCCTGCGCCCTGCAGA